ATCAGACATATTTTTGAGTTTCCTCAAAAAAATTAAAAATGGAACTCCCATTTGACCCAGTAATCCCACTTTTAGGAATATATCCCAAAAATCAGAATGGATATATGCACCCCTATGTTCATAGCAGCGTAATTTACAGTAGCCAAGATCTGGGAACAGCCCAAGTGCCATCAGTCAACGAATAGCTAAGATTTGGAAACAGCCTAAATGCCCGTCAGCAGATAAGCAGATTAAAAACTGTGGTATATCTACAGAATGGAATACTACACTGCGGTAAAAAAGGAACTCTTACCATTCACAACAGCATGGATGGACCTGGAGAGCATTATGCTAAGCAAAATAAGCCAGGAGAAAGATAAATATCACATGATCTCACTCATTTGTAGAATATAATGAACAACATAAATTGATGAACAAAAATAGAGACAGAAAAGCATCTAACAAACCATGAAACCTCAGAGGGAAGGCAAGGGAAGATGGGTAGGGGGTGGGGGGGTAAGAGATCAACCAAAGGACTTGTATGCATGCATATAAGCATAACCAATAAACACAGACACTAGGGAGGTGAGGACATGTGCTGGGGGTGGGGTGGGGGGAGGCGGGAGTGGTTGCGGAGAGGTCAATGGGAGAAAAAGAAGACATATGGAATACTTTAATCAATAAAGAATAAATTTTAAAAAAAGAAGAATCCTTATTGTCTTATAAATAATTATCCAGAATTTAACATTGTAATTGACTCCAACAACTAAAATTCAAACAAAAGCATCTTGAATAGTAGACAATAACTTTGAATGAGGAGAAAAAAAAACACATGGAAATACTCTTTAATAAATACAGTAATTTTGTTCTAGATCTATGGAAAATAAAAAGCCCAATAAAAGAAACAAAAAAGGTATTCAATTTTATATTCCTTATAATTAGAAATAAATTTTAATGAACTAATTTCACTTAAAACCATTTTTCAAGAAAAATTATTAGTTATTCCAATTTTTCATTTTTGACTATAGCATTTCTTGTTCTTAAAGCTTTATATTTGAATAGCATTATGAGAAAAGGTAATAACAAAAATAGTAAATATTAAACATTTACTCAAAAAAATTACTCTGTCCTATTGATGGCACAGACGACTAATGTTTTGATTGGTTTTTTTAAAAAAAAACACTTTAAGACAAATATGATAAAAATCTGATTAGAGAAAATAATTTTCATCTCTTCTAACACAAATATATTATACTAGAGGCCTGTTGCATGAAGAGATTCGTGAAATAAGCCTTCCCTTCCCTTGGCTGCTGGCACTGGTTTGCCTCTGGCACCCAGGACCCAGGCCTTTGCTCTGGCCATGCTCCGGCTGGAGCCGGCCCCAGAGCCATCAGGCTTTGCTCTGCTGCTTGGAGCCTACATATGCAAATTAACCACCATCTTTGTTGGGTTAATTTGCACACTCTCCTGATTGGCTGGTTAGCATAACAAAGGTACGGTCAATTTACATGTTTGTCTATTATTAGGTAAGATACTTTCTATTCAAATACTCCCATGTATCCACACATCCGCCTATATAATAAAGAGGTAATATGCAAATTAACCCTCATGCCCTCACAAAATAGCAGCCTATGACCAGGCCAGCAGGGGGGTTATTGAGGGACGACCAAACAACTGAACAGCAGTCTGTGTGGGACGACCAGGCCAGCTGGGGGGTTAGTGAGGGACCACCAAATGACTGAACAGCAGGCTGCATGGGGTGACCAGGCCAGCAGGGGTGGGGGGGAAGTTGGGGGTGACTAGGCCAGCAGTATATTTTTTTTATTTCAAAGAGCTGGAAGGGGGGCCAGTTAGGGGCGACCAGGCCGGTGGGGGGCGGGGGCAGGTAGGAGCGGCCCGGCCGGCAGATGGGGCATGAAGGGGTGACCAGGCCAGCAGGGGGAGCAGTTAAGGGCAATCAGGCCAGCAGGGGGAGCAGTTAGGGCCGATCAGGCCGGCACACAGAGGCAGTTAGGGGCAACCAGGAAGGCAGGCAGGTAAGCAATTAAGAGCCAGCGGCTCAGGATTCTGACGGGGATATCTGACTGCTGGTTTAGGCCTGAACCCGAGATTGGGCCAAAACCGGCAGTCCGACATCCCCCAAGGGGTCCCAGATTGGAGAGGATGCAGGCTGGGTTGAGGGGACCACCCCCCTCCCCCCCTGCTCCATGCACGAATTTCGTGCCCCGGGCCTCCAGTTTAATATAAAGAGACAATAGTGATGAGCTAACTTTTGATCACTTATTATGTGCCACTTACTGTTAAATGCATTATACTTACAGCAATTTTGTAACTGAGTGATTACTCACAGCAATTGTTAACCCTATTTTATATATGGGGAGGGGAGGCAAGGGTTAAGGCACAAAGAGGCTAAACAATTCACCCAAAAGGATATATGCATCCCTATGTTCATAGCAGCACAATTTACAATAGCTAAGATTTGGAATCAGCCTAAGTGCCCATCAGCAGATGAATGGATTAGAAAACTGACAAATCTGTGCTAAAATTTCTATTTCAATTTTGGTACATAAGCATAATTCAATTTTTTAATTAAGAGAGGCTACATTTGGCAAAAAAAAACACATGAAATTACTGCTTGTTCCCCCACGCCCCTTCCTTAAGTCTATTTCTAAAGGAAGGCTCACTCTAAAGACAAAGATTTAAGATATATACATAAGGATAAGCGATGGATGTGGACAACAAGGGGTGAGGGTGAGGGCAGGATTGGGGATATGAGGGGACATTGGGGGGATAAGGACACATTTGTAATATCTTAATGAGTAAAGGGGGAAAAAAATGTTTGCCTTAGAAATGTTACGTAAAAGACTTATAATAAAAAAATTTTTAAAAAGAAAGCAAACAAAACCCATCAAAAAAAAAAAAAAAACAATTCATCCAAACCTTCAAATCTACACAGAAAGTGACAGAGGTGGAATTCAAACCCAGGCAGCCTAGCTCCATATCTGATTTCAGAATTACTATACTACACTGGGTGCACATAGTACATAGTAAAATGCCTGGCTTTAATTTATTACACAGCAGGTACTAAATATAAATAAAAGTGTAACTATTACCATACTATTTATCTCTTTTTACTTACTCTGTGATAATTCTGGATTTCCTTTCAGATTCATCATCTTTGGAATTGATGGGCCATATACATCTACATCTAACAAACCAATCTCCTTTGACTGTAAGAAAACAGAATTTATCATTATTCCCATTCTTCATCAATGATAAAGCACATAACAGTAAATCTAACAATAGAAAAGACAATTTACAAAATATTCCAAATTCATGACCTGAATTTCAAAGCAACAGTAAGGTAAAAGAGTATAAATTGCTTCGGATAAATATATTTTGTTGGCTTACTGGAGAACTCATCAGAGAAATGCACTGCATAACTCATATTTCCCATATAGTCTCAAACAGACTGAGACTTTCTGATCTAAGAATTTAACAAATTACATGCACACAACATTAAAGGAATTTAAATGGCCAACAATACCCCAGGAAGATATAGCATTAACTTTTTGGAAAGGCTATCTAACAACACACCAAAGAATACAAAAAATTACAAAAGAAATCACAGAAACATGATCATAATTAAAGCAAGTGAGAAATTCTGATGCAGATCTGGCATGGAAATGCTAAAGAGGATAGTGGCAGACATAATACAAAGACACAGGTGTAAGTCACAGTTAAACACTCAAGGTCTTCTGGAGAGTCATAAACAACTAAAACTGTTTTCTTTGATGACCCATCCAGCTGCCTAAGGGTAGAATATCCTAATTGTTCTCTTCACTTGCTGCCAGCTAATCAGCAGCTTAGTCAAAGAAAGGAAAACAAAATTCACTATTCCTAAATATGCCTTTTTTTCTTCTCCCCATTCCTTTCTCCTTTGATAAATTAAATCAATCTGTTACTGGTTTTTCTCATGGACTAGCAAACTATATGCCTTTGAGTTATGTTTCAACAAGACTTACATTCTCCTCACTCTCTCCCTGTATCTCTCTTAACTTCTCAAATAGAAATTTTTTTAATTAAATAATCCTCATCTTCCATATTATCTAGCTATTTCCAGGCACAAATTCACTTTTTAAATCTTGCTGTCTGGTTCCTATAAATACACAAAATAAAGTACATTCAACATTTATAACCCTAACTTTATACTGACTCAAATGCAGTTCTAAGAAAACCAGTCAATGTCCCTGTGTGAATCACAAACTAAAAGACTAGGAATTAATATCTACTTCAACCAAAATCTCAGCTTCTTATAAATTAGAGGCCCAGTGCACGAAATTCGTACACTGTGGGGGGGGGCGGGGTTGTCCTTCAGCCCGGCCTGCTCCCTTTCACAGTCTGGAGCCCTGTGATCAATTGACCCGCAGAGGGAGCCCTGCCCACCTGCAGCAGCACCACCAGTCAGGTAGCCTGGGCCTCCCTCTTTGGGGCGATCAATCGTGCCCCACAGAGGCAGGCCCTGCCCACCCGCCATAGCCCAACGGTCGGTGGCCTGGGCCTCCCTCTGCAGGGCAATCATGGGGCAATGCCGGGGCCCCCAACCAATCGCATTGCACCTGCCTTGGCTGGCCTGGCGCCAGTGGGTGTCATACCGTGCTCATCTGGATGGCTGTTTGGCTATTCAGTCAATTTGCCTATTATGCTTTTTTTTT